ACACTATTATTACAGTAAAATTTGACTTTTGATTGAATGATATGAAAATCATTTCGACTTTTAACTTTTGTAACTTCTTTTATATTTTATATATCAACTATAGGTATAATAACAAAAACAAAATATGTAACAACCCCTTAATATGTCCAGCGGGCACTTAGCTGTATATTCTATAAACGGACAAAAATAGTGCTCTTAAATATTTATCAAAATATTGTTGCTTCTGATAGTGAACCTAATCTAAAAAAAATCTGTTTACATGAAGTTTGTTAAGTTTTAGCTTCTGAAATAAAAAGAAGAATTGAATTAAATGTAGGTAGTTTTCAATATAAAAAAAGGAAAATAATTATTATAGTAATACAAAATTATAACATATAATTAAAATTAGATTACAGAGATTTATTAAAATAATAAAATAATTTATCTAATCTTATATAATTTTAATTACAAGTTACGTAAATATGTACAAATATTTAAAATTTATTAATAGTGAAGCTACAGTGGCAGTTTCACAGAAAGAAATATATCTAGTCACACTACGTTGCCACCGCGCTAAAGGCATCTAAATCACAATGTCTAGTCGGCTAAGCCCTAGTGAGAGGGAAGAGATATGCAAAAATTCATAACTTATACGTTGATCACTGAAAGAGATCAAAAATTTATAGTAAATCACCATATCGTGCGTTTTCTTCAACAAATATAACAAAATGAACGGATTTCTTTTTCGTTTTGAGCAAAGATTAAGATGAAGTATAGGAAAACGTCTTTGTATATTGCTCCTTGGATTCAGCACAATCTACGACATTAGTAAGAATTAAATTTACTTGTCTACAAAAACAGTAAAACTGCAATTTTAAAGACGTAGATAGAATTTTTTAAGTGATACTTAGGATAAAAAACATATGAAAAAAACCTATAACACAATCAAATATTTTCTTTAAGAGATTATTTTATATTGACATTATATTTAAAAGGGATGCTAGACATTCCTTATGAGTGTACCTATTCAATTAGACAAGGATTGTAAAGTGAGAAAGCTTAGCTATATTTTATAGTAGTAAGATAAAGATTAAGAATAAAGTTTTAAAGAGAACATTTCAAGTAACCTCAGCTTCATCATATCATATCATAAAAATCTCATTTTTTCCTATCAAAAGTCTGAACCAGCCAGACTCGATATACAAACCGCACCGACATCAATTCGGTAAGTACCTACTTACAAATGTAACATCTGCTACACGTTATCACTTAGCTTTTGTATTCGTTTTAGCATAAGAAAAAATATAATTTATAAAAAAGGTCCAATAATATAAATTAATTTAGATTTTTATAAGCCTAATTTGTGCGTACACACTGACCTATTATCTAGGTTTATAATAGATAAATTAGCTATTTTCGCAATTTATTAATATTTTCTGTAAGCGTTCAAAGCTCTCAATAAGTATCACTATGTTTTTATAGTGTAAGTCTTAATAGTCTGTTCGAACATTTAAAAGTGCAATAAAGGCATACCAAAGGGAAACTAGAAGTAACTGCGTTGCTCAAAAATAATAAATGTATTTTTTATAACTTTTACTTATGCGAAAAAGATTTAGAATCTTTTGGCCTTAGAATATTTGGAACTGCTCTACATCATTACGTCGCGTCGTCTCAGTGCTTATTTCTCCAAACGAACAATTTACCGAAAGAGCTTTTAATACAGAATTATTGACTTTTAAATATCAATTCTTTTGATATTAAATAGTAAATACACATTTTCATTTAATAAAGCCGAAATAATATGTATTAACTATACCTATATGTACCTATATAAATTTTAGTAATAAATCTTTGTTTTTAAAATAGAAGAAAAAACCTCTCTACTTTAAAGTACAATAAGTATTGCTCGTTTGAACAAATAAACACTGTAAAGTCGACGACGTTTATATGGTTGTAATTTATATTATAAGAAATATTTTTTAAGCATACATTTTAGACCATGTAACAGATGTATCTATTAAGTATCAATGTGATTCTTCATCACTTTGGTCGGGATACATATTTTATAAATAATTGGATCACATATGTTCACCGTCACATATTATATTCAACGCTTTAATATATTTTTTTCGTAATTTAACACACAGACGCTTAACTGTAACTTGAAGCTTTAAAAGCTTCTAAAAGCAACACTCCATTACAAAAGTCGATGTACACAATACACATTCAATTACATTATAACGATCCTAATTCACAATTTGACGAGCTCATCGTTCTTGGTTCTAAAGAATTTCTTTTGCGCACCATAAGTAAGGCATTTATAATGCCAAATAGGTATAAAATACCAACTCTACGTATAAATAATTAGAGTTTTCTATCAAATAGGAATCTGTGCAATCTGTAGTATTAACATTTAGTATATTTATTACTACTAATAAAATGTTAACTTCGGCTGTAAAAGTGATCGATTCCTAACAGGCTATAATTATAATACGCTTAGTTTATTCTGAACACAGCGTCATATCGGGACTCGGTGGGATGTCAACACTTAGTGGGCAATACTAGTGCCACTATTGAGATCATTCGATTATGAAAATACCACAGCCCTCATTCATAATAAACAAATTATTTATTAGTAATACCCACCAATAATTATCAAGTTTTTTACATACACCATACAAATCAAGTATTTACATATATTGCATAGAAATAACAATTAACACAATTTAAATAAAAATTAAAAAATAAAATAAAAAATATGAAACATATACCGAAGATGAACACTAAACAAAACTTATGTATATTTTAAAATATCGTAGTATTACTAACAATAATTTATCAGTATTAATCGTGTGTATCAATAATACGAATAATTCATTTCATTTAACAGCATTTAACCGCTAACAGTTAGTATGGTAATATAAAGCGGACGTCATATTATTCGTTTAGCGTGATGCGCGGACGCGCCTCGCCGCGGCGGCTGCTACGAACACCGCTGTAGCGCACGCGATCTGAAGTGTAGGAGGTATTTATTGTATACATTATAATTATGTATTTATAATTAAAACTATATCTATGTATTCAGCCCTTTTTTTTTAACGTCCCACTGCTGGGCACGGGCCTCCCTTCAATCCGAGGGGCATCAGGCCATAGTCCACCACGCTGGCCAAGTGCGGGTTGGTGGACTTCACATGTCTTTTGAAGACTTGGTACGTTCTCTCAAACATGCAGGTTTCCTCACGATGTTTTCCTTCACCGTAAGACAAGTGGTAATCATGTTAGGAATGATTCGCACATGTAAATATCAGAGGTGCGAGACCCGGGATTTGAACCCACTTCACTTGGTTTCACAACCAAAGCCTTTTTAAACTATATCTATACATATAATAAAATTCTAACTGAGAAGAATCTGTACATTAAATATTTTTTGGAAAATCTTATTGACATAGACATTATTATCGATACAAAGGCAAAATCTATAGTTTTTAAAATTTTTGTCTGTCTGTCTGTCTATCTGTCTGTCTGCCTGTCTGTTACCGCATCACGAGAAAACCACTGGACAGATTTTGATGAAATTTGGTATGATAATAGCTGGTCATCCGGGTCAACATATAGGATACTTTTTACCGCGGAAAAATATCTCATTTCTGAGAAAAAATACAAAAACTGCAATGTAAGAGTATACTAATATGTAAAACTTAAGAATTTATTTTTTGGCCATCTGAACGCGGGCGGAGCCGCGGGCAATGCTAGTCTAACATAAAATATTAATAATTATGTTGTTGGGACATTAACACACAACGCCATCTAGTTCCATGGTAAGCTACGAGGCTTGTGTTATGGATACCAGATAGTTGACACTACATATATATAACTTTAAATAAATACATAATATAAATACCCATGACTGAAGTACAAACATCCGTGTTCATCACACAAATGAATGCCCCCAACGAGACTCGAACCCGCGACCGCTGGCACAGCAAGTAGGGTCACTACAAACTGAGCCAAACGTGTCGTCAATAATAATAAAAATATATTATATGTATAATCTGTGTTCAAATAGGAAAACGTAAAGAAAATGTCGATTGATTTTATATTGCGTTCTTCACTAAATATAATATCCATGGAAAGTATAGTTATTGAATACTTAATATTTAAGAACAGTTGTTAATTATTCATTCATTTCTTAGTAATACATTGCAGTCTGTATTTCATCCTGAAAGTTCAAAATTAATTACCTTTTTACTAATTACTATAAAAAGTAGGTTATAAATTATTACCTGCCACTGGAATGGCAATAAATGTCATGCTTATACTTATTTATTAATAAAATTTCTAAATTAAACTGTTATTTAGCCTTTGAAATTAATTTCACATCAAATATAAAATATAAAAAATATGAAACAGTAAAATTAGGTCTAAAAATATTACTTATTAATTAAGAAGATCTAAGGAAAACTAGCGATCTACGTGGATACCAAGACATTCAAAATCATTACCGTTATTTTTTTAATTTAGAATTATCTTGCTACTGACCTAAATTTAAATTTAATCTTAAAAGTATATCTAATATCTATGTAGCTTCAATAAACAATATAAAATAACATTCCATAATATAAATGGGGTTACACACTCGAACTAGGCACTCGACCAGACCTCTCACCTCGGCGACAAGAAGCTGCCTTTTACAGGGAGACTCTTTACTATAACAATGCTTCTTTGTCACTCGTACAAAGAAAACCATGAATAACAAAATCAATTATTAAGAAATTTTAAGATCAAAAAGTCATTAAAAGTAATAAATCCCCGTGCCTTATGACTACAATAGGAAATAGATATGAAAAATAACAATTGAATAAAAATTTCAGCTATGACATGATAAAAAATATATTAAATAAAAACACAATAATTTTAATCGGGCAAGCTCCACTCCAGTGAATGTGAAACAAACAATAAACAAAGAAGAATCAAGAATGTAACCTTGTGCGGGCGACACTGCAGACAACGTGACGCGATCACAATGATTCGGGGTCCCAGTTCACTGTAGGTATGACCCATGCACAACTGCCTCTTGAAATAAAAGTAACACAAAACAAATATGAAATGGTTTACACAATGGCTTTTCAATTTGAAATAAGTGGAATGAAAATGAGTTGTGTTCACCCTGTAATGCGCAATGTTTTTAAAATTCACACAATATCAGATTGTACAGATTAAGTTATTGTTTTTTATGATAGTTTACATTTATTTTCAATATTTTTTTTATAAATTTAACATTTGATTTTAGTGGATTTCGATCCACTAGTAGGTAGCGATACAAGCATCGGGTACAAGCTAGAATGCGAAAGGTGAAATTCAACTAAAGTAGTGGAAGTATAAATAGCATTAAAAAAAATAGATAATTTAGGATCTTGACTAAGTGTTGTTCAATTTCAAATAATAATTGAGAATTAACATAATATGTAATATAATTCATTCATCACATTCACACATCGTTGTATAGTGTTTTATAAATATCTGAAAGATATAAACTACAAAGTTAAAATGTTATATAAATATTGACTGAAAAAAGTTAGATTCTAAGATATAATTTATTAATGTTCAGTTATCCATATCCTCATCTCATAATGGAAGCTTATGAAAGGCTGCAAAATCGCCGGGTTTTCAAATAAGATTTCTCCTGTCTATTTATTTTCTTGATAAAAGGAAATTGAATTCCTACTCGTGTATATTTTTCATATTTCAATATTCATTTCTACTGAAACACTCTTGTAACTTGAATAACCAAGTTAGGATCGAAATTTTATGTTAGATTAATAATTTAGGTTAGAGTGATAATTTAGGTTAATGTTGAAACTACTTGAAATTTATTAACAATCAGCGTAAAAAAAAACTTTCTTCGGTCCAAAAATCTGTTGAGCCGTTGAATCATGTAGATGTACCAACATATTCACAAACATGACGAACAAGTATGAACTGCCTCGTTACTCTAGTGGCTAAAATATACTGCTGCAGATCCGGAGGTCCTGGGTTGGACTTCCGGCTCGGGCCATGTTTAACTATTGAGTTTTTCTATTAAGAAATTCTAAGTAGCAGCCAGGACGGCTTTACATGCTCTTCAAAGCACGGGTGCGTAACTCTGTCAATGTCTCTAACATTGGCGGTGTTACACCCCCGTGTCTCGAAGAGTACGTAAAGCCGTCGGTCTTGTACCTTGACTCTTATCGGTCGTGTTGTAGTGTCGTCCTATTGGACTTTAAAAGTGGAAAGGAATACAGAGTGCACGTTGTGCCTGCGCGTAAACTTGTTGGTGCACTATAATATCTCCGGCTAGTCTCATTGTCAATGAAATTGGCCGCCGTGGCCGAAATGTCAAGAGGACATTATTATTATTATGATTTGATGAAAACAATTCGAAGTAATGAATTTAAATACTGGTGCATGTCTAACTGTAGTTATTTCGTTAAAAATATTGTTAGCACACAGAGACAGAAGTGCAGCACTTCAAAATTTTCCTTAATTTTGCAATTTTTAATTTGGTGTATGTAAATTAACAATAACGGGTATTCGTTAATAATTCTAATTAATTGCATTAACTGTAACAAATACATTCCAAATAACCAACTAATTTTAGGTATTCTCGCTCGCCCTTCAGTTACCTACTGACCCGTCGTTGTGTGGGTTAATCACAATTACCTTTGGCTTGTATTTACACACTCGTTTTTCGGTTTAACGACCAGCGAAATTGGTTCAACGATTTGAAATCGGAATAGGCAAATATTAAGTGACTCACCTACAAAGCGTTTTAAATATAATTTTTTTTTTACGCTCGAATGCTTCGAAAGCATTCGAAACGTCGGGGACCGAAAATCAAAATAAATCCGCGAAATAATTCCGAAAAGATAGTTTTATTTAAAATGCCAAATATTTGCATAAATCTTAGAAAATATTATATATTTTATTCATAATATGAAACATATTATGTGTATAATATGAAAATAACCATCAATCACCATTCTTCAACTTTCTTAACCAATCAAGTCTTTTCAAGACTTAAGTTTTAGAACTTTATTTCGTTGCTTTTGATTAACTGAAAATAGAAAACAACTAAAAAATATATTATCCTGCTCCCGTTACTACTTCATTGTATACTAACAACTTACCCTAGCTTCGCTCTGGTGCGTCCCTATGAGTCACTTAGTTACTCCTTTTATTGTTTTTTCAAATCGTGTAGGCTGCGCACGCCGATAAAATAACTCAAACTAACGCCAGTTTTTTTCCGACAATTAAGGTTTTTATGATTTCCGTTAGTAAACACATTTTTATCGCAATAAGGTAATGTTACTTTCCATTAGTGAAAGAAATTTCAGATTTGGATCAGTAGTTTTAGAAATTACCGCCTATATCCAAACTTACAAGCTTTACCTCTTTATAATATTGATGGAGATACTAGATAACTTAAATATTAGACTTGATGTGTACTGATTAAATTATAACAATATATTACCTATGTGGCGCGCGATGAGGTGAGCCAGGCGGTGAGGACGAGGGAGACAGAGCGGGGGTCGCTGGAGCAGAGGCAGCTCGTCTTCTAGAATATTCTGATCCTCCTACTGCCATGGCTGAACCGCCTCCGCCAGGGTCAGTGACCCGTGTCACTGACAGACCTGACGATGACCTCGTCGGTCGGGATGGAACTAGTCACATTACATATATACAGATTAGTATGCTTTTTATTGCAATTTTTTAGAAAAATGAGTTATGATTGTATTTTTTCTAGAATTCATTTATAATATACCTCCAGTATAACTATAAAGCCCGGCCGGAGAAGACCGTGGGCGATAGCCAGATGCAGTGGACGTTGTGGATAGGGTGGAAGGTGATCTCTTCATCCCGGCGGAGTCACCGACGCTTGACGTTGTGGACGGCCTTCGCGGTCGCGGTTGTCGCTTCGAACCTGTTCTGCATACTCCTACGAATAAGTTTCGTATTATTACTATGACTCATAGTAGTTTAAAAAGATTAGGGTATCTATTGCAAACTGTGAAAAAACCAAACGCATTAGTTTTCGTGACTACCATAAAGCTACCTATCTAAATGATTTATTTTCTTCATTATTAATTTTCAGTGCGTTCGATAAATAGAAATATGTGATAATATTTAAAAAGGATGATAAAAGATGAAGTAGCGTTTAAAGCAAAATAATAAAATACATAAAAAGCTTGCCTAGTGAATAAATTCTTTTATATACAAGTAAAAATATGTATACAGCAGATTTATATTTTAGTTATAAGCCTATGTATATATATTAGTGTTCACATAATACCTAATGCAAATATTCGTGATATTCTATAATCTCAACAATCTATTGCACACAAGGAAGTGTAACAATTTGATAATTGATAAGTACCAAAATTTAGATGATCATTTTTTTAACAGCTAAATGTGTAGAGTGCTTAAAACGGTCAATTAAATTAAAGTTTTAAAAACATATTTACCGTTTGTATTGGAAGGTTCGAATTAAACTATTAGAAGAAGTAGTAGTGGAAGTCGAAGTATAGATCTTGCGAACTTTATTAGAATTCTCTAGGAACGCTAACTTATCGTCGGAACGGTTTAGACTTTATCCCTTTCAATCGTAACCTTGTAAGTGAAATTGTCAATATTACGTAGCAAGTCTGTTGAGATTTGTAACAGATTATTTTCTTGAAATTTTTGTGCGAATATAACATTATATTAACATTTATCATATAAATAATATTTCAGTGCTTAGATAATACATACAGAGGTCATAAATGTACCTCTATTGTTAATTGGTACAATTAGATAATAATTATTTGTAGGTAGGTACAGTGAAGAGCAATATGTTTAAGAGTAATGATTTTAAAACAAATAGATAAATCATCATAGGTTTTATATAAAAAAAAATTAAAAGGATTCGAAGAAGAAAAAGTAAAACGTACAAATTAATTACTTATCTTATAATTCACTACAAAATTATTAAAGAATAAAGCAATAACTCGCTAATTATCCCAGTAGGTACAATATTAATCTATAAAGAATTATTTTCTTATATAATATGAGGAAAAGTCAAACTTACAAATACGTGGATTGGAAGTCAAAATAATTGGTCATGGGATTTAGATTAGGATAATTGTAACTACAATTATTTATACAATTTCATCAATTCCATAAACTTATAATAGACAATAATAGACTGTTGTTGTCAACAATTAATACATTAATGATCAACAACTTGTTGATCGTTAATGTTTATTTTTAAATTATAGCCGAATTAATTGCAAAGACTTGTTTGTAAAAATTATTTAGAACAACGTAATTCTTCTAGTTCGAGATTCTTTATATTAAATAATAAATACCACTAAAACCAGATGTTATATTAACGAGAAGTTGAGGCAAAAACATTGTAATTTTTGTATGATGTGTGATGAATATTTTATTTAACATGTATTTACTTATTTAAATTTTCGCGTTTATCAGCAGTCAACATAGAGTTTTTGAGTATGTTTACGGCTCTACCCTTCTCAAATAACAATAGTTATGTTATTCATACGTGTACACTAGGTATAATATAGTAAAAAATATCGTCCATAATGGAAGATCCCATTGATAGCCTTTTTAAAAGCATTGGTCATTACATTAATTGTTCCTTGAATCACGAAAAATGTAATATATTTCATATTATAACATAAATACATTATATCCTTTTTACTAGATTCCAAACCACAACACTATGAAAGATCATTAAAAAGATTTACGTATAAGTTATACAAGATATAGGAAGAGGTAACTATACGAATCACGCCTTAACGACTTCAGCTGAACTAACGGTTAACAATTTTCTTATATTTTAATACCTATTTCTATTTATCACACTTTTTTCTACTTCTCCTAAATTTTTAATAAAATCATGTTGTATTGGTACGATCATAGAAGACACTGTTGTTATGTGCCTAATAATACCTAGATATAATAATTAGAATTTTAACAATATTCGATTTCTTATCAACTATATCAAAACTCAGTCATAGAGTTTTTAGAGAATAAAGTAAACAACTTGCAAACGAAACAAAATCAAATTGCAATACGGGATAACTAAATGCTAATATCCATCTATTGTATTACGTACCCGTGGGGCACTGTCTGCCCATTGCACACTTCCCTTCACAAATTGTCCTTTGGTTGAGCATAGTTTGATAGGAATCCAGCATCACACGGCATTCTGCGAGGTCACTGTCTGCTAAAGCCAAAGATGGGTACCGCTCTTTAAGACGTCTTCGTTCCTGTGCGAATATGTATTATGTATATTTTTAATTATTGTTCGACAGAGATTGCACTTTTTACGAGTAAAAGTGAAATTTTAGTTTTTACTCTTTAAGTTCTGCCTCTCAAGTCAAAATTAATCTATTAGATTCTACATTCAATAACCACGCCGTCAATTCAGTACCTATAGCTATTTCTTGGCAATATCAACTCAAGTGGTGACGCGCTCACTTCATGCGTGAATTATTTCTAACATGATTACCACTGGCCATAATGTTAATAATTTGTATCGAATATAAATTAAATTGTTAATATTTTATAAAATTTTAACAATTCATAATATAAAATATTTACTGAAGAACGATAAAAATAAATAGATATATAGAACAAACATTATACATACATCTTTCTATAATTTAATCGATGTATAAAAACGTATATGACTTTTACACAAAATATGTAGGTGGCTACTAGTGATTACTTTTGTAGGGTCGCATCGAATATCGTTGAAATTAATGGACGACACTGATGTACATATAAAATTCAGTCGGGATACACTAAATTAACGTGCGTGTACACATCTAATAAAGTTTTATTGCCTATAAACTATAACAGCCAATAGTAATAATCCATTCGTATTGATAAGACGTTTATGTAAATTGAATGACATTTTATAGATAGCAGGAATAGCTAAAAAGTTGTAGTAGTATAAGTAGAAAAAATCAAGCCTACAGAACGAAAATATTTTTGTTCAGTTTCACAAAGAGATATCGTAATCTATTGTGAAAATTCAATTTTTCCGAAAGCACGTCTCATCAAATATGCCTACAGAACCGCAGTATTACATAACGCTGATGTAATTAGAATGAAAATGAATGGCGCACTGATTGTAGATGTAGACTCACTTTGTCGATTAAAGACGCCAAGTTAATTAATTAAGCTCTTTATACTTTGTGCAGAAACTGTAAAAGTGTGATCATCTTTTTTGTAATCAACGCAAGTAGCTATATACATATACGAAGTACTATTCTCGTATATAGGACTTTGCCGTTCCCATGTCTTCTTTACATACATATGTTATAAATGTGTTTTATATATATTTTATAGAATTATGTGTTCTTATTTCTTATCAAAGTATATTTTAATCCATGAAACTGATACTTTGCAAAATATGTAGGTACATGGATAACGATTAAATACATTTATTAAAAGATCCATCGGAAATATTAAACCTAACCGAAACATTGCTGACGATGAAAACTGAAATAACGAAACTCTGCATCCACACTCACGTCGTTATATTTTAATGCCTACCATTTCGCTCTTACATGTAAAATGAGCCAGAATATTTCAATTACTTCAACGCGTTGACGAAATCCGCAGTCAAATGGTAAATATTCCCTCCACGAGCGCGGGCACGCCGGCGTGTCAGTTAACAATAGATTACTTAGAATTTTAATTAATTTCTTAGAAATTTACCTGTAGGTGATATGGAGTAGGAACTTATGTTAACCTTTTATAGAACAAAAAAATAACTTTTGCAGATATTAAGTGGAAAAATTAAAATGATATAATCATAGTAATATTACATTTTTGTGAATGTATTTATTACTATTTCACATTTTAAGAGCTTTTCGGGCTTAAGTCAAATTAGAAATGGAGACAGCTCATTAACTGCGTGTTACTGGAACACATAGGCTGCTTTTTATCGATGTACCTTCGTATGGAAGGTTATTATTAAATTACCTACATATATTCAAACTCAAATTCCAATATGTTCATATATTAATTTGTCCTCGTAATTCTGTATATAATATAATATTTATATACATTATACTACATAAAATAATGATATAAAATATGTTAAGTTATAATTATTTTTATACAATAACAGCTTTTACAAAGTAATATTTTCATTTTCCCTTAAATCTTGCTTCCACATGAGCGGGTATTTTTAAGGTGTATAGTCTGGCGTCAGCGACGTGACAAACATTAGATATTCTGCAGTCGTTCCGACACATTTTAATAATTATTAAAAAATTCAACTAAATTTAACCACATATATATACTTATCTTTTCGTTTTTTTTTCGCGGAATTACTTATTTTGACTTTTGGTTCCTATGCTACACATTAGTTTTATTTAAAATGTCAATATTCGCGTAAATCTAAAAACGGAAAAACATATACGAGTATATCGTACAAATAATAGGTTGAGAAAATTTTATTTGTAAAAACATTTCGTCATCTTTTATATGTATATGCCTCCCAATGCAGTGGATGGAATATTTTCAAAATTGCTCATTTTATGATGCCTTTGTCTGTATGAGTAACTTTTGGGTATAATATAAAAAAAAATACTTACTTCAACCAGCTTGTACGTTTCAAAGTCCTGCAGTTGACGTTGAAATCCTAGGTTGGGATTGGCAACGGCACGCCCTGCACGAACTACTTTTAATGCCTCACGCCACGTCAGCGGCGTGACGGACATTATGTACGCCACAGCCACCGTCACGCTCCGAGACATGCCCGCCAAACTAGACGTATAGATTTTATTTAACAGGATGTTACATTTAAAAGTAACTTACTACACGGTTAAATACAAAAAATAAAATAAAAACAAAGATTTTGATTTTTATGAAATTAACCATTTAATTAAAATCGGGTTTAATTTTAATTAAACGGTTAATTTCCAACCATAAAAACAGTTCACTACATGGGTAGTATGTTTTTGTGGTAAAAAGTTCTAACAACTAGGTACTATTCTGTAAAATCAATAGAATTAGAAATAATAGAAATCCTTAGAATTAATTTGAGAAAAATGTTCGATCTTTTTAAAATATAATTTTTATTTAACCAGTTGTACCTACTAAAGTTTGTGTTTGTAGTTAGTTAAATTTAATTAACTCTAATTTAAAAATAATATTGTTACTTGTATATACGACCCTCTATATTACTACATTTTGTTAATAAGATACCCTGCAGTCTGCACATTCAGGATCTTGAAAACCGCCTTTATCCGAAAGTCACAATCTATGTACGTAACTCTATACAGTGGTAATAAAAATAATTGCATTTAAAATGTATATATAACGTATAAATAAGTTAAAACTTATAGAAATTTTAATTGTATGATAATAAAACATGACTGATGACACTCATTTTACACGGATTCTGAAATTTGTAACTCACTTATCGGATTACATTTATTATTATCATGATATTTGATGTTGAAATAAAATAATTTAAGGTTGATTTATAGCCTCGATCTTAAACTTTTAAACCCATATAATTAATTTCTAATATCCGTGATATAAATGAAAATATATACGCAACAAAATCTCTGGTAAAAGGTCAGAAGTCAAAGGTCTGATAAAGTTAATAATTATATGAGGAACTTCCCGTCAATCTTTTAGTAAGACTGAAGAAGTTAAAATTATATTACGTAAAGTACCCAAAAGTCGCTACAATTGAGTGTGTATTGCTTTAAGTAATTGACAAAGGGCACCAGTTCATAAAGCACTTTGTAAGAACATTATAAACAATAAGATCAGCAGCTCTCTATAACGGCAGCGGTATAAAAGGTATTGAAGAGGAGCATGTCAAGACTGCGTCAAGCACTCTCTTGTTACAACGATACAATGTACATATCAAAAGACTTTTTGAGTTTTAAATTTTCCATAAAACAGTTACTTTGTTAATTAATATATTTGAACTAAATATATGCAAATTAAAATAATGTTGCTGTTAATTAATTAGTAACTCTTTAACTTAATTATAGAATTTAAGTATATACCTTCCACACTTAATAGGCTTTCCACATGCAATATATTAACACAAAGAAAGTTTCGATATCAAAATAACTTTGTAATATCACCGATCTAGAGATCGTAGGCGTAACAAAGTATTAAAATTTTAAGAGTTCTGGGAAACAAAGACAAATCTGCATTGTCGAATGCATTCGTCACAACTCGACGGGTCGAGGTCGGTTTTACGGAAACTAATTAAAACGTAAAAGTAGCTTTTTCCGCATTTCTGTTGGAACTAGGGCATTAAATTGTTTGCATGCTTATTATAAGGTCTTTAGACAACATTGCGTTTGGCGGAATATTTTTTTAAAGATCATTTATGGTTTTCCACTCTCTCTCTCTCATATTATCATTATATTTCAGTATTTTTAGATAAAGAGTGCCTAAAGGTTTGTTTTGAAAAGTCATGGCTATATTTCGTACGTTTTAGTAAAATTTGTGTAACCAGAAAATAAATTAAGAAAAGGGCACTCTGTACAAAAAATTATATAAGAAACTTCTTACAATTTCGTCTTTGAGATTACAATTGTTACCGCCGCCGCGTCAATCGGGGTTTTAACCGATGATACCGATTATAATAGCTGAAGAAACAATTTTGACTGAAGATATACTGATTTTACAAAATTTGACAAACTATAAATAGCTTTGCAAATTGAACCAAACACTTTAAAGTAGAGTCAAATGTGGATATGCAATTTGTGACAGTACCTACTATAGAAAAAGAACCTTCTCGTAGGTTAAAAAAGAGATTTTAATATGTAATACGTTATACGATAATTATAATATGTAAATTGCATAGAAATTATACGGCATACAGGCTTCAATTCGAAAAAAATAGCTTTTCTTTTTAAGTTTTTTTTTTGTGAAAATGACTGCCTCGACCATAAATATAATTTCTTGGAATAAAATATTTTAATAACAAATATGACAAGATATAACAACTACATAATTGAATATATTGAGAATTTTTGCGTACCTTGAAAATTGACATATTTCATTTTGTTTTGAAGCAGAACGTTTTTCCGAACGAACATTTTGTAAAACGTGGTAAATACGGCGTATTAGATGAGGTAAGTGAATAATTGAATAGGTTTCTATTGACAAATGCGTTGAAGCGGTCACAAAAAAAGCCTTTACCATTGTACTCATAAAGAAAGGCGACTCAAGAGAATAAAATGTACCGCGTCAAAGAGAAAATGATTGTTGAAACGTACCTACTAATATGTTTATTTCTTTTTTAAGGTATTTTGTCTTTCTAAAATTTTCTCTATTTCTGAAAGTCGGCGTGTTTAGTTGGAAAACCAAAAAAAAACATGTGGTCAATATCACGGGTAAGAATCAAATTGCGAGGTGATTCTAAACATTGCCATGTTATAACATAGTCTAGCCTTTATTTGTTTGTTTTTTCTTAATAACAGAAACGTAAAGAATATTATTTATTCTACGTAAACTCATATAGAGTAAATTCAACGGAAATATTGACTTGGTAAGCTGCCAAGAGGATTCGAAGCCAGGCACAGAAAACATGTCTGTTTGTACCAGATTAGCCTAACCTTTAAGAATAGGGTCCATACCTGTTTTACCTTAATATGTTGGGATGTATCTTAATGTGACAGGTGACAGATAAAAAAGAAAATACTTTCGCCTTTTTAAACAAACATTTACCGATTTAGTAGATTATATTATTTTTTATATTTATTTTAGTTATTTTAGGTGATTTATTTTTATCCCCTACTGGGGATAACTGGTTGGTTGTTCCACCTGTAAAAATGGATCATTTACTTTTAAGTGATTTTAAAGTCGATTTACCTTTTTACAATGACAAAAAAGATTTAAAGTAGATAGTAGTATATAAAATGCTTTCTCGTGATTTAAATTGTATATAAACTGGTGTACAGGACTAAAATAGTATTAAACGCAGTATTTTACCTTAAAAATATTTACGACATACGCATGTAGTTGCTTACATACGTAAGTATACATACTCCCTCTCTATCGCGTGATAACGCAGCTCAGTTATTAGCTGCTTACGATCAGATAGTGGAATAACGTCCACATAAAGATATTTGCAGGTTTCAATAAACAGTTAAACATTTTTTCTAAAAATATATGTAGGTAAATCTAAACAATCCTATAAAGACAAAAAAGAATGAAATATGTCACTTAATAATTATTTATACATTGTAATATATTTTTATTATATTCGCTGTCGCCTGTAACTAATTTACACCTATTATATTCAAAATTTCCATTTAGTGAAGGCCAAAGGACTGACGTGCCACGCACCTTGACCCAATTATCTCAGTGAAATAGGTATTTTCATTTTAAAGGCTACTGAGAGGTAGCATGATGAAGACAACGAGTCCTTAAAATTTTAAGTAGGATTTGAATTTTTTATAACTAGCGATTCACTCAAGCTTAGCTCAGGCATCAATGTTTTTAATACTCTACGGTAACCACTTTAAGTAAGTATATAATATCACTATAGGGTGTATATATACATATATAATACCACTTTATGTGATACCAAACTATACTGTGGACATACACAAACAGACAAGCAGAATTTCGCATTGGTAAGGCATTACTATAACGTACTTAGATACTTGTTTTTTAAATACATAATAAAATAAAACCTTTAAACCAAGCCCCGTCCTTACTTCGTTCAGATATCAATAGCAATTTAACTTGTGTAATATCGATTAGTATGTTAGCCCAGTAGTAAAACTACGTAGTAAGTAGTAAAACATTATATAAGTATAAAATGATTCCAACAGGCAAGCACTTACATTTTGGTTTTTATATCAATAATGAGGATATATCTGGTATGGCCTTTGAAATATTTTTAGATTGAAATATTTAAAAAAAATCTTACCAATGTATTAAAACGTTGCCGTCTCTCAATCTTGCCGCATGTATAAAATCGTTGCAGAGGCTGAAATACTGGGTCAGGTTCTGATCTGGTGAATCCGAAGCCATTATGCAAAGGTAGTGTTTATCCTGCAAAGAAATTATGTTTAACGAACGAATACTAACTATATAAAAAGACTTACTTAGTTCATTAAACAATAAACATTGAACATCTATACTAATATTATAAAGAGGTAAAGTTTATGATTTTGTGAGTTTATGTCGTTATATGGGGTAATCTCTGAATCTACTGAACCGATTTCGATAAAATTTTGTAAGAAGATACTTTGAGACTTTGGGAAGAACATGGGATACTTTTTATTCCGGAAATCATCCCTTAAATGGCTCAAAATGGGGATGAAAGTTTGTATGGGGAATCAAGCTAGGGACGAACCCGAGCGAAACGAGGGTGAGTCGCTAGTTAATATATAATAAGAAAGTAGTACCTATTTAATAGTAAATTAAGATTTTGCAAAGAAAAAAATATTAATTGTAATAATACGTAACTCATCCAACGCAATATTCAAATAATATAGGTATGGGTATTATCTAAAAGGCATAAATTAAAAAAAAGTCTTTTTGATTTAACTGAAAACAGTGAAATTCGCAGAAACGTGAGGCGTAAATTGTCGACTTCACACGTTCAAATCAACTTTTATAGGGAAAGGTGGCAAACTTTCCCGGTTGGTTTTAAATGGTTTTAATTCTAAAGTATTAAATTACATTAATATACCTACATAGGAATATTACATGTATCAAATATCAGATAAATAAAATTAATGGTAAACGAAATTTAATTTAGGGGCCAGTTTAGGGGAACTTTTAAGCTAGAGATCCCATACGTAGGTGGTAGCTTAAGTGATGACTGGTGAAATCGGGCATTAGGGTTCCGCTCAAAAAAAATTTACCTAGTGACGAACCCGAGCGAAGCGAGGGTGAGTCGCTCGTTGTAATTTATATATCTTACGCTACTAAGTTACTAGTTCATAGTATTTAACGTACTTCATAGTTAACAAGGTTTACTGCGTTTTTTTTGATAACATCTACCTATACTTTGTTTATCCTGAACTTAAACAATGGCCTACAATAAAACTATTTTAATTAAAAATTTAAGTGTAAAAATTCTCAATAAATAGATTATAAAATATTAAAAGAATTTTCAAGTCTGACTCGTAGTTCCAAAAGCAAGTTCGTTGAAACAAACAAAAAACATATACAAGATCTATAAAATTATTTCAAGTATGATTATAATATACCTACTGTGAAATCATATTATGTTTTGATCAAGGAGGCTTGATAAAATTAAGTAAATATGATAAGTGGGCTGAGTTTGAAGCAAACGTTGTAGTGTTATTTCAAAGGGCACGTCAAAGACATTAAAAGATCGAGAGCTTTAGTCAACAATAGCCTTTGTAAATAAAGCTTACTTAGGCGTTTGTTGAGCTCTATTAACAACTAGCAGAATCCGCGGCTTCGCTCGCGCTAAAACTACAAATAAAATCTCAAAAAAGGTAGGTTTCATACAAACTTTCATCTCTTATTTTACTCTCTTAGGGGTTAAATGTTAGAAAACGCTGAAATACGTAACTCATTTTTTTCTGTACTCAATTCACACGTTTCATGCAAATATGTCCAAGGAATAAAAAGTTTCATACAAACTTTTATCCACTCTCGTGGGGGTTGAATTTTAAAACGTCCTTCCTTAGTAGGATGCCTATGTCATAAGAGGAATACGTGAGCGAAATTTCAATTTCCTAGCCATAAGGGTTTGGCCTGGGCATTGATACATTAGTCAATCACTTTTGCCTTTTATATATATATTTATATATATATATATATATATATATATATATATATATATATATATATATATATAAAAGGCAAAAGTCCACATAAAGATATATTGTTGTAGTTTGTATAGATTAAAAGAAGAAGGGATACAACGTTTTTACGTTGTATCCCTTTTTAAGAAAATTACGCGGATGGAGGAATGTGAAATTTGACACAGTTAAAGTTTATATAGAGATATATTGTAGAAAGCTAATATTTTTATATAAAATACATTAGAAATCTATACATATAATAAAATTGTAACTAAGCCGAATCTGTACATTAAGTATTTTTTGGAAAATCTTATTGAAATAGACATTATTATCGATACCGCCTTTTTCGATCGATTTGCTTCAATACATAATTCTCAATTTGACCACAGACTTTAATAATAAACAAAAGAGTATATAGGTATGCGTGTGTGTGTCAAATACATGATAGTGTGTGTAATGTTTTTTTGTTGATTTAATGTATTTTTATGCATAATTAAAAAAAAATAAAAGCATTCTGCACTCCTTCGTCCGTGAAATTTTCGTAAAAAGGGGTACAAAGTTTTTGCTTCACGTATTAATATATAGATAACAGAATAAACAAAATTTAATATTTATCCTTGAATGCATGAATAAATAAAATTACAACTCGGTTGTTAGACTTGAACGTTTGAGCAAACCTGAAAAGCTGAAATAAGATACATTTTATATGGCAAACACACACACACACGTGTACACACATAGCACATAGTGTGTGCACGCACACACGTGCGTGCACACACTATCAAACAAAACTGTTGGACAAATGTTGGAAGTATGTCATAATTTATGCTTATTTATTATTTAATCATAATTTGGAACAAAATTGTATAAAGTGGAGGTGGGCGTTAATAGCTACGACACAGTCTTAAACTTTTAAAGTCTTATAGTACATAATATTATAGTCTAAATGTTAAAATATTCCATTTTTTTTAAATTAGTAATACCATAGATCATATAATAGTATACCAGTAAGTTAATACACAATATTGTGACATTTTTATATAGATTAAAAAGATATGTCGTTGACAATATGTTCTTTTTTTATCGGATATTGTTATTATTTCAATTATTTTATTATATTTAAAAAATGTAGGTATTTTTTTTTAAATCATCTTGTTTTCTTATAGGACATCATAATAAATAATAAGCTAATATAAACAGGTATTGGACTTAATCGATTTCAAAGTCATTGTGCAAATCATACTACAAACAGCAGTCGTAAGAATTTTCTTTGTGGCGTGATGAGTTTATCACAATATTTTTCCTTGCTACTGATATACATACAAAACTCATTTTAAATTCAAATATGATTCTTGTCATCTTCAAAGGCGTGTGTTGAAACTTTATACTTTCTTGATTATGCAAATGGTAGTCGGTAACAAACTAACGCTATCGTCAATCAGTAAAAAATTATCATCATATGATAACATCATGTACCTATTTTAAATAGCTTCTAGTTTATATCAAAACTTTTACTAAATCTGGAATGACTAAATTTTTACAAAAACAAAAGGTAGAAGGAGCGGACCCGAGGGAGTCACAAAGGTGAAACTCCCCTCGATCACCGTAATCTAACCCGTACAAATAATAACGATCAGTTAACGGAAAACTGGTCGTTCACTTTCATTTATTAGGGCGTTAAAGAAAATTGGTTGCGATTCAATTCTAAATTGAAATATAAATCATACTTCGTATTTTCACTAAGTATTTTGTTGATATAAGACGAAGGTACAAAATGTTATGAGTTTATGACAAAAACATTTATTAGGGTTCACAAGTGGGAAGGTAGAGTTTGTTTATTTTACTATAAATTTATTTAAAGCGATTATTATTTATATATGTCGGAGAAACATTGTTCTTCCCGACATCATCATTCATGGTTGCTTCACACGCACTATTGAAAGGCAGCGGGTTCAGGGCACCGTCTTTACTTCAAACAATGAATACGATCCAACTCGACCAGTTACTATCGACTTCGACTCGAATGTCCAAAAAACACAATCAGTCTCCCTAAAGTAAACGATGGCGCCTCGACCCCGCTCGAGGCACGTGGACTCCGGCCACCTCGCCTTTCAATGGCCACCTCGCCATTCAATGGCCACCTCGCCATTCAGTGGCCACCTCGCCTTTTTTTTTGAACTCAACACACGTCCACTCGTTTCACAACGCTGGGCGCGGCGGCAGGCTGTGCGCTGCTGCTCGCAACTGGCCACGTTTTTGAGCACCGCGATGCCACATGGCCCTCAACACCACACTTGTAGCAAGTCACAGGGGCCTACGTAGTAACGGCCGGCGCTCAGTGGTCGGAGTTGTTTGCTGCTTGTCATGCAATCGACTGAAACATTCAAAAGACTTATGACCAAGCTTTCCACAAGCGTAACATTTTGTTGAAACTGAACTTAACCTAGGACGTTTATTATCTGGTATAGTGCTTGCAACGGTCTTTGTTATCTCCTGGTAGCTCCGCTTGCGATAAGAAAAAGCCATTAGTTCACGTTGCATTTTACAGCGGGTAGTTATTTCTTCAGAAAAAATATTGCGTTGTAACCTTGGCTCAATTTGCCCCATGTGTGCAAGTATTAAGGATACCACCATTTCTTCTTTGCCCAAATTACTCCATCGTGACATGAGTAAAGTAAATAAACGGCTTGCATATGCAGCAAGACATTCACCTTCTTGCAGTTTGCCAGTAAGAATCTTTAATATCGTTGCAGCACATGTTTCTAACGTATCGAAACGAGAAAGAAAAATTTCCTTAAATTCTAACCATTTCATATTAGAAAAAGCTATCTGAGAAAACCATGTTGCGGCCGAACCTCTCATGGCCTTACTAAGTATAAGAACTAATTTACTTCCCTGTATACCACTATCCAATAAACAGATGTCCGCCGTGGCAAGCCAGGCCCGGGCGTCGGTGCCTGCATCCTCCGGTTGAAATTTAGGCAGCGTGATGCTCTTATCCTCGATATTCGGTGGGTTGGTTAGCGCCTCCACGAGTAGCTTCATACTGGTTTGTTGCGCTTCAAATAACGCACGCCATCCGTCATTTGCCGCTGTCCATTCGCTTACGTTTTGTGCCTGCACCGATCCCACTTCTGATGTCGGAGAAACATTGTTCTTCCCGACATCATCATTCATGGTTGCGGGCTTAGTGGGCGTCATTGGGTAAAGTGCGAGCACAAAACACAATTAACAGTTCCGTAGTGTTTTATTTTAATAATATTCACTTAACACAGATGTTACAATATTCACTTTCACACGCACTATTGAAAGAAATTAAAACAAAGAATTAATAACTAAGACCGAGCAGCGGGTTCAGGGCACCGTCTTTACTTCAAACAATGAATACGATCCAACTCGACCAGTTACTATCACTCGAATGTCCAAAAAACACAATCAGTCTCCCTAAAGTAAACGATGGCGCCTCGACCCCGCTCGAGGCACGTGCTCTGCTCCGATTGGTCGTTACGTGACTTAACATATTCATAGCTTTTATTAGATTGCCGAAGTTTTTAAATTGTAGAAAAATGTAAGAAATCAAATAAAATCAAATTAATAATTTTAAAATTAATTAAAATGTAAACAAATAATATTGTGCGTTATTCATCATGCAAACAACAATCAATCCGACTCCTAGCTTCCTCCGACATATATATTTTTCTAAGCGACGTGAAAATGCTACTTCAACATAAATAAAATATAATAGATCACATCACGTATTCTTTGCCATATGCCACGCAAGGATAGCGTGGAGTCTCACATTTTACGATAAGTACCTGGGCGACCGAGCTTCGCTCGGAGATCTTTTTTGTTATATTGTATTTTGTACATCAAAAAAAACTAAAAACTTGAATAATTATAAAAAAACAAAACAAAAGTAAAAACTTTGTATCCGATCGGATCGAACCCGGACACCTGTGACTGTCAATACTGCGCCCTGGCGCTTGACCACAATACTTATCCCCGAGCGTGACATAGACTGATCTAGATCAATTTTTCACCCCTGAAAACCCCCACACACCAAATTTCAGCGAAATCGTTAGATCCATTTCCGGGATCGCCGGTATAAATAAATATACAAGAATTGCTCGTTTAAATAAATGATATAACTTTCGAGAAACCGTCGACTGTACGATGACATGTTATGTATTTGTAAAAATAAATAACATTTAAGTTTTATCTGCTACAAACATACATTTAGTCCATATATTACTACTATTTAAATGCGAACTTTTGTATGTGTTACTAAATGTTTGTTACTCCATCACACTGAAAAAGCTTGATGGATTTGGATGAGTTGAGTACACATAGATTACATATTTATAAGTATTAACTTATTATTTATTTGTAGAGTACCTATATAAGTTTATTTACGAACACTAAAAGATGATTTAAAATGACACAGCTGTTACAATTATTGTAACTTTCTTTATACATGTACAATATAAGTTGCAAAATAATATTTTATTAAACTTTTAATAAAACATTTGAATTATTTCTTAAAAATATTTTAAAATATATTTAGGTAGTAGTGTGTATATATATTTATATGTTATATATTGTATTTATTATGTTTTACATATGCTTATTCTTATACATTTTCTTATCGTTTCTTTGCACTTTCTCTCTTTGTCCCGCTACTTAACACTATTTCCCACCTACATAGGTTGACTGGAAGAGATCTCTTATAGAGATAAGTCCACCTTTGTCCACGTCATTTTCTATGTATTTTTTTTATTACTTGTTTAGTGCAATGAAGAATAAATAATAGGAACTAAGTTGCATATATAAATACAGATTATGATTAACTGTCAGCATTTCCAAATTGCAGATCATTCTAAGTAATAAACAATTATTAAGAAAACACTATTAATCCTGTTAGATGTTATATTAAAGTCAACTGTAAGCATCATGCTGGCAAAATATTCATGGTTACGAAATAGCATTTACACCGTGGGAGTACTTGTTTATTTAATTATAAAGGTAATATCTGAATTCTGATGCCCGACGCAACGCGCCCCCGTCGCTATCATGAATATTCATAAATTTTGCTTAGGGAGACGAAACTATCGTTGTATTGAAGAGATTATTTATAATTGTGTCACATGACCATATAATAATGTCGCAACGTAATTGCTATATAAACCAGTGTTATATAAACAAGTAGTTTACTTAACTTATATAATGGGAAACCTAACAGCCTATATATACTTACACTGTAGGTAGGTATATAGATTTCATATAGTTTTTATTTTTGTGATAGCTTGTTTTATTGGCCTGTGGACAGAACTATGTCATATTAAAAATTAATGGTGAGTTTACTAAATTTTTTTATAAAATTTTGTGTGTGAAAACATCATGTACATATCATTGTGTACATGGATAATATCAGTTTTCTGTCTTGAAATGAAATAAACTTTAATAAATTAGATTTATAACAAGCACTTTTGAATCGTCAATTTAATTTAAGCGTCAGTATAGTCAGTCCGCGAGGAATCTACCACCAGCTCGAAAAGCAGTTCTGCTGGGAAAAGCTGGCGAGTACATGAGGGATCTATATAATTTTTACATATTACAACTACAAAATATATAACATACATATATGTCAGCTAAGTTGGTAAAGTATAATTCTGAACATCTTTAAAACCATTTAATAATGAAAAATGAATATATTAAAATAAAGTAATAATTAGGTCAAATATAAATTAAAATATTCACCAGTAAACTATTTCATGAGTAAGAAAATAATGAAATGGAAAGACTTTGTTCGATCTATTGTTCAGTGGGTAATGTTCTAGAATGAGATTGTCGCTCGTTATTCAACACTTACCTATTCAAACAGAATGTTTCCTGATATATAATATATTTTTGGCAAAACTTATTCTCAGGAGGAAGGTAGCAAAAAAAAGCTTTGAAACAGACAGTTAAAAAATATTACTGTATTTCAAATATTTTTTTTTAATTAAGTTGGTACATGACTTTCTTAAAAACAATATAAGCTTTTGAAAGGTTGTACAAACATATTATGTTTAATATTTATCTGTACAACAAATTTGAATAAAAATTCAAGGTCATAGATATTATTATTTATAATTATAATAAATATATTATACAAGACTTATACCTATATTAAATATAAGAAAGTTTTCGTCATTCTTTCCGCTCAATAGTTATTATAGATATTTTAATGAGTAAAATCCTACCTAAAGTTCTAAAGCTACTTACCGCGTGTAGTCTTCTGGCAGCATCATGTATGGAAAGTATGTGTGTTATCTTGTATTTGTCTAGTTGAACGGGATCTTTTGAATCTCTATAGTTGCCCACGTAGAGACCCGGCAATACCTATAACAATAGAATTTTTATTACAATTAGATTACCTCTCAACTTCCACAAAACTTATTATTAGTTGCGTGTAAATAAAAAAGAGTAAAAAAGGATTCCCAAAAATACTTTCGTAAAACGAATATTCTAAAAAAATATTTGCTATTTATAAAAACAAACCGTTTATTTAAAACTAAAGTTGAAAAGCATTTATTTAAAACTAAACTAAAAGTTGACCCACTTCGTTTTTGCTGGCGCTTCCACAACCTATTTGTTGAGATATTAACCGACGGAAGTCACAATTGCTTTAATAGGCAAAGCGTCTACCTCTTAACTTCATTTTTCCGACAATGACTAGCAGAAAAATACTTTATGTAGAAATTTCATAAGGCTGAATAAACTGTCGGCGTTTTTATGTGTATATACTAATATAAATCGATAATATATAAATAATATTAATTGATATAACAATAAAAACTTACTAAATAAAATTTTCTTTTCGGTTTTTTTCGCGAATTTACAATATTTTTTAACTTTAAAGTTAAAAAATAACGTAAGGTAATTTGGTGCCATTTTTAAATTTATTGATTTCATTTTGTTATTTGTGGGTAGGCTGTCTGTAACAACTTTGAGATATCTAACACCTCAGTCTCTCTCGTGACCATGATTGCTGTAAAGCATTCGAAACGTCGGGAATCAAAAATCAAAATAAATTCGCGAAACAATCCGAAAAGATAGTTTTATTTAAAAATGTCAAAAATTCGCGTAAATCTAAGAAAGTATTAATAAAAAATAAAAAAAACGACTTCCAGGCACTAAAATGTAAAAAATAGATCATTTAGAGTAGATGCTTAATCAGACATTTTCGAAGTCGGTGCAGCCGATGCAAAGCAAATCTAATATAAAATACATATTTACATGTGTCGGCTGGCACCGACTTCAAAAATATCTGATTAGGTATCTATTTTAAATGAAAACCCCCGTTTAGTTATTTTTTTACATTTTAGAGCCTGGAAGTCGGTTTTTATTTATTTAAGTTTTTATTTTCCCATTTTTAGTGTAGACATAATAAGCAGGTAATTTGTAAGAAGAAAGTTTTTAATAACATATTCGATTAAACAATTTATTTAATAATTATTATTATAAATTAAAAATTTGAAAAATCCCCTACCCAAAACAATTTTCATTTAACGATTACACTGGCACGCGTGAAGCACTTAATCCCTCTTTGACCGCGGACACGCCGGCGTGTTAGTTAACAATAGATTTCTTAGTATTTTAATTAATTTCTTAGAAGTGAGTAATCGTAAGCCAAAATGCCTTACACCATTTTGGAAAAGAGCTGATACTCTTACACTGCTGAACCGATATTAACCAAACATAGCTAAGAACCACCGCAAGGAAACTGGTTTTCAAATGAAAAAAAACTGCATCGAAATTGGTCCATCCGTTAGAGAGCTACGATGCCACAGACAGAGAGACACACATACACACACACAGCAGACAGCATCGACGTCAAACTTATAACACCCCTCTTTTTGCGTCGGGGGTTAAAAAAAATAATTATTGTTGATTTTTTCAAAAACCACTCGACCGATTTCGATAAAATTTATATGGGACCACCTGGGAAGTATACCCTTTGAAACAAAAAACAAATCCAAATCGATTCAGGCATCTTCGAGTAATCGGTGAACATACGTAAAAAAAAGATTCCGACGAATTGAGAATCTCCTCCTTTTTGGAAGTCGGTTAAGGAAGTATATGAGGGTACGTGAATTTTGTTATTTTTTTTAGTTTACTAAGTTCATGAATCATGATGTACCTAAGTGTACATTACATCATGTCAAAATACAAATTACTCAATTTCGATTTCGAATACGGATATTTAATCTTAATTTTATGATTTTAATCCTAGATCAAAAGTTGCTACATTTGAAACGAAAGTATAATTTTGGATTCTGTCGCCGGTTTTATTTTATATTTTTGTTTCCGACGCGGATGTTTCGAATGCTTTACTGCAAATATGGTCACGGGAGAGACATTGCTGCATTTTGGCTAGTATGTTTTGGTAAATTACTGGTTAAATGCGAATTTTTGATAGCCCACTTTACATATGAAGAACTGTATTTTAAATTACCAAATTGAATTTACCACTGAGAGGGCACGTTTAGATGATTCGAAAGCTAAATATCAAAAGATTAATATAATTAATAAACACTTTCCTATGTTATTATGTATAAATATATCTATTACTAAAAATATCCGATTTTCTGTCCAAAACATTTATTTTATTAATTAACTAGCGACTTATCCTCGCTTTGCTCAGGTGCGGCGTCCCTAGGTACATTTGAATAAAAATTTTTGAGCGGAACTCTAATTCTTTTACTGAAATAGAAGTAGCCTAAGTTACTCCTTATAACATCAAGTACCTGCCAGTTGCCTTGCTAGCAAAAAATTTAAAAATTGTATTTTTCTTATAAATACCGTATATGGAATTACCTTATGCGTTTAGTAAAAAGCCGTTTTTTTTTTGACATTACAAACAGACACTTCAATTTTATTTATCTGTATAGATTGTGTATCAAGCTATAATACTAATATATTAATTATCTACAAATAACAAAAAAGATAAACTTTTGTATCTGAATGTTTGTATAATGACGAAAATATGTGATTTAAAAATATAAAAATAACGCGAGTGGAAGAGAATGAGAGGTCCATTAACGTCACGATGCAGATGGCAAGTATTTTTTTACCTAACAGCTATAACCGCAAGCTGAGAGCGAGAATAGCACTTGCTAATGACGATAGAAAAACATTTATTTTAAGGTGTTGACCATATAGTGCTTAAAACACAATATAAATTACATAGTTTTAACTATATCTAATAAACGAGCAACTATCGTATATATATACTTCATATATATATATATATATATATATATATATATATATATATATATATATATATATATATATATGAAGTAGGATCGATTGACATAAAAAAAAGTTTTTTGGTACATTGTTTCCAAAATCTGTATCTGCAGTTCAAAATATCTCAAAAAGTTCTGGATAGTCTCCTAGTAACGTTTTCCTGTAACTATAGCAGTTTAGGTACCTGCCCTTAATGTCCCGTCTCAAAAATCCACCCTATATATATATATAATAAATTTTGTCTAGAAATATGTGTTGTCAAGACTTATTTACTAAAACAACCAAAAAATAATTTACAAAAATAAAATAAATCCGACTGCGTAAAAAGCGAACTAAAAAGATGAGAACAAGCTGACAAAAAAATATGCAGTCGGATACACGTAATAAGACTCGCAGCTAGTATAAAACATAAACATATATGTATATGTATGTCTCCGGCTGCATATCAAGACACGCGGTAGCGTGTACATGCAAGTTCAAGCCAAAGGAACTGGCGACGCAGCACCGTGTGCATATTTACACGAACCATTCGGAGCCACTTTTCACCACGTAATAACTCAAAATCTGTTAAACAGAAACTCATGAAATTTAGTTCATTTATTAAATCCCCTTAGATTAACTAGAATCCCTAATATCATAAATACAGCTCAAACAGTTATTGAGATATTAACGTCTAACAATCGTGATTTTTATCACTGACTGACTGACATATAGTAGTAAAACCTAACCCACTTCCAAATGACCTAGAAAGTTGAAATTTGGTGTCCAGATGGGTAATTGTGTGCATACAAAGGAAAAAAAATCGAAAACAGTATTTTTTTTAAATTAAAAAAAAATTAACACCTTGCGCCTTCCGAAACATAATAGCAATAGCTTAACATCTAGTGCCTTTTGAAATATAATAGCAATTGAAATCATAATAATAGCAAAAACTTTTATTTCTCAGGAGAAAAGGTTCCATGATGATTAAATAACATTTTCCTGTTCCGCATTATCCACTAACGAATAGACGCAAAATTATGAAAAAAAAACATGGAATTTACATGTCACTTTGGAATTATGTATGAATAATAATAATTTCTTTACAAAAAGTCATGATATCCCGTCAAAACCATAAGTGTGAAAACTGGAGCCAAGTTCAATATTAAGAATATGCGTGATTGTCAACATCACCGACAAAAGAATTGAGATCTAAATAGGTGCCAAGTTCTGTAGATAATCCTGAAATTTTTTCATAAGAACATACAACATTCTAAAATAAATTTAAAATATATTTTCTTGTTTTTTCTGCTACAAAAGTGTTTTGCTATTTATGAATAGAACTTCTTCAATTTGAACAGTCGAATTATTTACACAGAATAGATAAATTAGGGTAAATTAAATTTCAAGCTATGACTTGGCTAGTCAAGTTTTTATTTTTGTTTATTAGTTTTTTCCAGCTTTTTGGTTTTGGTCAGTTAGACATTTTTGGTTTTATTTAACAAATTCTTATCCTAAATTACCTTCAAATACTCGTACATATAAGTTATATATATTTTTGTAATCGCTTATTAAAGACCTGTATGTATTTCGATAGCCGACTCGATTGATTCGGATGATGAAACTTTTTTCAAGACACATGTTGGCGCTTTAGATCCGCCATTTTGATTTTTAATGATATCTATATAATATATTCTATGAGACTCGCGTTATCAAGACGAATCGAACGACGTATGATCATCAAAATCGGTTAAGCGATTTAGTTTTTCATTTAAAAGGTTTATTTTCACTTCGCTCGGGTTCGTCCTTAGCATAATTCCCCATACAAACTTTCATCCCTTTAAGGGATATTTTTCGGGATTTAAACTATCCTATGTCCTTCCCAAGATCTCAAACTATCTTTCTACCAAATTTCATCTAAATCGATTCAGTAGGTTCGGAGCCTATTCAGTACAAACAAAAAATCAAATCTTTCCTCTTTATAATAATAGTATATACATAGAATTGAGTGGGTAGGCTTTTATTAAAGGCTATGTTAGTATGATGCAGAGGCTCATTTGAAGTAATAACAACTTATAAACGTATTATATTGGAAGTGGAGGATGACT